TTACAAACTTGTATTTACATATGGTCACATGGCTTAATTTGACATAAAAATACAGTACTTAATTGTTGCTGGTTTCTTGTAAAAAAAAATTCTAATTTTTTAAAATAATATTTACATTTGAGAACCAATTAAAATAATTCAATATATAATTAGTTTCTGATGCAAATATCAAAATGTTACCATAGACTTTACTTTAGCACTTGGCGTCCATTTTGAAATCTAAAATGGCTGTTATAGAACACTGAAGTGATCTAATACTTTTATTTTGAGAAGATAACGTCCCTGGCACGTAGCTCACACCAACCAGTAAAACAAAATTTTCACCCAATCTTGGGGGTAATGATGCGAGCACTGTATATAAATTTTTCCTGACGATAAAAAATTAGAAATATATTCGCCTTTCTGATACAGAATCCACACACAAATATGTTGTAGAGATGCTAATTTCAGATCTAGATGTAGTCAAATGCACAAGACTACCTGGTTGTGTGTCTCACCGTGTTTGTGTCTCACTGCATGTTTGAATCACGGTGCCCAAGACACACCGCAACCCTGGAGGACAATGCAAAAGGCACAAAGACCATCTCAGAATGACGCTCAAAAAATTTAAAATTTTTCCAATAGGATCTTGAAACCATTGCATCCAACCGTAGTCTATGGCGCTCCACCTGTACCCAAGGCGTCAAAGATCTCGAGAACGAGAGTAATATGGCCAGATGTGCACGTAGAGAAAGGAGACACAATCGCCCTCCCAGAGACCTCCCACCCAACCCGGAGCTGTCCTGCCCAATGTGTGATAGAGTCTGTGGGTCAGGATCTGACTCCACAGCCACATCCAGTGGCACCGCCGACAACATCCCTAGTTCACCACTCATCATCATCATCATTATCATCATCATCGATTTCATAATGAAGCAGAGTCGTCGTCGTCGTCTACGACGGACAGCCTTAAGCAGTAAAAAGTAAGTACACAACAAGACAAACATGTATGTCGTAATGGTGACTTAACTACAGACAACTCTAATAGTAAATACCAAAAAAGTTACTTCATCAAAAATTTGTCACGACGACAGATTTCAGAATGAGCACTATGGCTCGTGTCATCTCAGAATGGTTGGTATGTCCGGTTGCAAAGTGACTCAATATTACGTTAATAATATGTTGCTCGTCGTTATAGTATTTACAGGTGAAAAGAAGTAATTTGATTTGCAATAAAACTTTCTCAGAGCAATGTTCAGATTTCTCGTTCGTTTTGCCATATTGTATAAACCCTTAAGAGCGTTCGCTAACTGTTTGTGGTGAGTGTACAGAACATGTTAAGGACAGCCATGTGTAAATAATAATAATGTTAGTGAAACAGTTATAGACAACATTACGTATCATGGCAGGCGTATACCTTATGGCTCTACGTATTGTACTGCCGGTGTTTCTGGACGATATCTAAAGAAGGAATCTATTAAAACAATCCAAAGTTAACGTAGGTGCGTATTGATATAACGAGGCGTGCGTTACAGTCTGGGGGTGAATTTAACCCCTTGGTGACCAACATGAGAACTAATTTGGTCAGCCCTGCCACCTCCTCCTTCCTGGAGAATCTTCACCACTTCCACCATTTTGCCTCGAATAACAAAAGTGCTGTCATTAAGAAAGAGTGATGTGCAATACGTTCTGGGTTTTGAAGCGGAAATCCCAAATAATTTTCTCTATGACAATTTTTCCTCTTTCTTCTGTGTTTTATTTCTCAATATTTTCTCCACGAAGCCTCAACTAATGTGCTTTAAATTTGTTCAACATAATATGAGGGAACCTGTATGTAATGTAATGTTTTTTTATTATGTTGGCAGTTTGGGGGAACAAGTTTTATCTTCTTTTTTCTACAAGCTCGGGCAACATCTTGCCACAGCCTTAACTGATTCATTCCCAGAATGAATCATCCGAGCCTCGGTATCACGCGGTGATCTGCACTGCTCGTGGTGATGCTACCCGCTGCTGGCGAGATTCGAACTATTTTTACGAGTGCATGAAAGTTGATTGTTCCAGACGATATCTCAATTATGTCTTAACTATTTTACTCCTTTCATTTAAGCAGTATCATTCTGTGTCGTATTCCATTATTCTGAAGGTGAGATTGACCGCGTGTGGCAGTCCCTAGATATGTTAGGGTCGATGTTTACTCTCCCCACTCCCCCTCACCTCCTGCCTTTGCTCCTTCTCCTCATTGATAGTTTTATTAATTAATCTTTCTCCAAGGAGTAGCCGGTTCAGGGGGGTGTCTTCACAACTCAATTCTATTCACACGTTAGATGCCTTTTTGTTTCGCACACACGGGCATTAAGTATCATATACTGAGCTGCGTCGTAGAAATTTGGAATATTTTATTCCCAGGTGGCCGTTTTGGGTATTACTCATATCCCCTGGTGGCCGTTTGAGGAATAATTATCATTTCTTCTTTCTTACTTCCTTTTTCTTTTCTTTCTTCTTATTCCTTCCTTTCTACATCATCTCCTTCAATACACAGGGAATAGAACAAGGTAACATTTACATTACTTCATTAACTCAAAACACGAGATCAGCTCACACAAGGCCTCGTGTTGCTCAGGCCAGGACACTAAACGCCACGCCTTTCTCTCTCCTCTCCTCCGCCACTACCATATCAACTTTCCTTTCAAACAATCATATAAACTAGAACCCAAACGATGACCTCCACAAAATACCCCAACACCAGAACAATAAACCGCATATAAATAAGTTTTCTAGAGTCTTTGAACACTATGAAGAAACATGAGACGTACAGCAGCTCTCTAGGTATAACAATATCTTAAATACTTGGGATTAATCATTGTTCGTGATGGTTCAGGTGAGCTTGTACCATCTTTCTCCCCGTCAGCCGTAAACTCAGCTGGTGTGAATGTTAAAAAAAATGAATAATGTTGCTCGGTGTTATCTGATGGTGTTTACAATCGGTCTGGTTGTATGACACTCGTCTGGATGTTACTCAATATATTTCTAAAATATATAATTATCATATAATTTTAAATTGTAATTATGTGGAGAGGAAATTCCAAAACACAGCCTCGGCAGAATATTCACCAATAACGTTACTACACAAAGAAATAATTTACTGAATCTTATCGGAACAGAACGTGTAATTTATGAATAGTGAGGAATGAAAGTGGACATTCCTGTGACGCTGGAGTTCCCCCACAACACGTAGCTTTAAGCATAAACATTATAAAGACAGGAATGAACCGTAGTGATAAGACATATGGAGCTACGGTAATTATTGGTTCTATATTTACCATGATATAAATAGTCATGTAAACCGAGAAGATTAAGAAGATATAGAAGTAGAGGGAACAAAGACAGGGACACAGAGCAAAGACAACGACAACAACAACGGCAACAACAACAATCACAACAACGACAACGACAACGGCAACGGCAACGGCAACAACAAAGACAACGACAACAACAACAACAACAACAACGACAACGGCAACGGCAACAACAACGACAACAACAAAGACAACAACAACAACAACAACAACAACAACAACGACGACAACGACAACAACAACGACAACAACAAAGACAACAACAACAACAACAACGACAACGACAACAAAGACAACAACACAAGAGGTAACCGGGCCAGAGAAGCCCTACCGAGGCTGGAGGAGTTGAGACAGACTGGGATGAGTTTTTTGTGGCTCCTCCCTCACACACACACACACACGTACATGATGACACTTACACACACACACACACACTAACGTATGCGTCACCAGCCTGGTCGTCTTCTCTCAACTCTACCAAACAACGTCGGCTAGAGAAGGTACAGAAGAGGGCCTGCAGAATCATGCTCGGCGCAGAATACTCCGGCTACAACAACGCTCTCTCCACCCTGGAAATGCCATCCCTCAGTGACCTCCACCACCAAGCACTAGCAAGGTTTGGCAGTGGACTACTGCACCATCCTCGTCATCGCCACCTCCTGCCACCGGCATTCCCCCGCCCACCTCGCACAGTCCGCCACTACAACAAAATTCAGCCCATAAGAGCCCGCACTGATAGATATAAGAATAGCACTCCTGATTAATGTACTGTACAGCCCTGTAAATGTATTCAATGCATATCATTATGTCTAAATCAAATGTAAGTTTGCATATTTTCAGCCATCGGCTGCAACTCTATTAAAAAACCGTTTATTATTATTATTATTATTATTATTATTATTATTACACACACACACACACACACAAACGTACATGATGACACACACACACACGTACATGATGACACTTACACACACACAGAAACGTACATGATGATACTTACACACACACACACACACCCCCACACATACATGATGACACTTACACACACACACCCCCACACGCACATGATGGCACTTACACACTACCACACGTATACATTATAACTACTTACACACAACGGAACACATACGAACACATGATGGTAACAATAACATCAGCATCAACCTCTTCTACTCTAGCCCAGGTGATATACACAGGGTAGGGTAGGGTAGGGTAGGGTAGGGTAGGGTAGGGTAGGGTAGGGTAGGGTAGGGTAGGGGGTAGGTTAGGGTTAGGTGACATACAGGTTAGGTTAGGGTTAGGGTTAGGTTAGGTTAGGTTAGGGTGACATTCACAGGGTGGAGGGGGGGCCGGTGGGTCTTATCTAACGTATCGGACAACAAGGAAGCTGTTTGTCTTTCTTAACATATTAAACCCAGATAATAATATAATGTATTACGTGAGAGGCAGGTGGTCCCTTCTGTTGCTGTGTGTGTGTGTGATTGCTCTCTGTGCTGAGGAGAGAGAGAGAGAGAGAGAGAGAGAGAGAGAGAGAGAGAGAGAGAGAGAGAGAGAGCATGCTGTTGTGGGGGGGTGACAAGGAGGGCGGCCTCACCAGGAGCTACTGTACCTGCCAGGGGGAGTGTTCTCACCTTGCCTACCCCGCTCATACAGTTAGTTGTGTCACCTACAGGAGCGCGAGGCATTGTTCCCGCAGTTAGAAGGGCGACAGCTCATGTTATGGCTCATATTTTCGTGACCGGACATGAAATATGGATGTTCTTGAGTGTGGTGTGATGTTCTTGAGTGTGGTGTGATATTCTTGAGCCTGATGTGATGTTCTTGAGTGTGGTGTGATGTTCTTGAGTGTGGTGTGATATTCTTGAGTGTGGTGTGATGTTCTTGAGTGTGGTGTGATGTTCTTCTGGTGTGATGTTCTTGAGTGTGGTGTGATGTTCTTGAGCCTGATGTGATGTTCTTGAGTGTGGTGTGATGTTCTTGAGTGTGGTGTGATATTCTTGAGCCTGATGTGATGTTCTTGAGTGTGGTGATGTCTTGAGTGTGGTGTGATATTCTTGAGTGTGGTGTGATGTTCTTGAGTGTGGTGTGATGTTCTTCTGGTGTGATGTTCTTGAGTGTGGTGTGATGTTCTTGAGCCTGATGTGATGTTCTTGAGTGTGGTGTGATGTTCTTGAGTGTGATGTGATGTTCTTGAGTGTGGTGTGATGTTCTTGAGTGTGGTGTGATGTTGGGAGTAACAATACACTACACTACTTATAATTACATGTTTTACGGCTCATCGAAAAATAAGATTCCCTGGCTTATTTAACGTTAAGATTAGCCATCCTAACGCTACGCTAACCTAACCTAAATTAACCTAATGTAACTTAACCTAACCTAATACCAACATAAACTAACCAAACATAGCTTATTACACCTTAAGAATAATCATCCTAACCTTAGCCTAGGCTTACCTAACACTAACCTAACCCATCCTAACCTAACCTAGTCTAGTAGTCTAACCTATCTTAACATAACGCTGACCTAACCTAATCCAACCCAACCCAACCCAACCCAACCCAACCCAGCCCAACCCAGCCCAGCCCAGCCCAGCCCAACCCAACCTAATTCAATTTAATTTAATTTAATTTAATTTAATCTAATCTAATCTAATCTTAACTTATGTAATCTAACCCCCAGGTAGCGTTAGAGTGTTAAATCAAACAATTGATACAAGCTTAGGGGTTAATCTTGAGGTGGTCTGTTAACACATGTGCCTGGACACGTTTACAACAAATTACACATTTTTTTCTAGGTTAGACTGAGAAGAGGACATGGGCCGCTCTAGGCTCGTAATGCTGAGACCCTTATAGTCTGTTGGATCTTCGTGTAAAAGCGAAATAAACTTATATATTTCTCTTACGTTATCTTCTTCTGAACTCTGAATTATTTCTTTATTTTTGTATTTTTTTTTTTTTCATAAGCTGACAATATTAACCTTGGGCTGTATTTCCCGTATTCGCGCCGTGTGTGTGTGTGTGTGTGTGTGTGTGTGTGTGTGTGTGTGTGTGTGTGTGTGTGTGTGTGTCCTAAACTAACGCTAAAACCCGTCAAGATGATGAATTAAAAAAAAATCAAAAAAAAAAAAAACTTAAATAATTTTCTTATTTAAAACCAGTGTAGCGGTAAGACCAGCACCACCCACTCCAACCCGCCCTGAATGAAGCGTGCCAGTGGAAAGTGATCCATGGCGCGGGTATAGAGTACAGAACACTTACATTACTGTCCGCAGGTGGAGAAAGCTGGATATAATGACCGTGATAATGTTGGACTTTCCGGCAGTAGACGCTGATGAATATAATGATGAGGAACATAACTAGAGTATAGATTTAATTAGGTTATAATGAAGAGAAAATTGGAATTGCGACTCACGAACCAGTAGACACATATTGAAATGTTACTGCAGAAACAATGACACTCCAGCATAAAATGTAATTAGGTATGAGACAACACCTTAAACGAACTCCTCCTTCAGATAAAGTGACTAGACTGACTCCTGGACGATGGTGGCTGGAGTGAAGACAGAATACAAGGGATGGTGGCTGGAGTGAAGAAAGAAGGAATGGACTGGTGGTTGGAGTGAAGGCAGAGGACAGGGGCTGGAGTAATGACAGAGTACAAGGGCTGGTGGACGGAGTAAGGACAGAGTACAAAAACTGGTGGATGGAGGAAGGACAGAGTACAAAGGCTGGTGGACGGAGTAAGGACAGAGTACAAGGGCTAGTGGCAGAAGGGGAGAGAGAGAGAGAGAGAGAGAGAGAGAGAGAGAGAGAGAGAGAGAGGACAAGGGTGGGTCCCGTGTGCTTGGGTTGCGTGTCTGGAGGTGATCACAGTACAAACTGGTTATAAAGCAAACCAATCATGATGCTGGTTATAACTCTGCTTTTATTACCACTAATAAAGTACGCTCCGTAGTGTTGCTTATAGCACACGACTTGGCCCTAAGACTGGTGTACGACGTGACTCTCTCTCTGCTGTTGGCCGGGCTGTTGGTGGCCAGGCTGTTGGTGGCCAGGCTGTTGGTGGCCGGGCTGTTGGTGGCCAGGCTGTTGGTGGCCAGGCTGCTGTTGGTGGCCGGGCGGGCTGTTGTGGCCAGGCTGGTGGGCCAGGCTGTTGCCGGGCTGTTGGTGGCCAGGCTGTTGGTGGCCAGGGCTGTTGGTGTCGTTGGTGGCCAGGCTGTTGGTAGCCGGGCTGTTGGTGGCCGGGCTGTTGGTGGCCAGGCTGTTGGTGGGAGGCGGTCCAGCTGTTTGCTGTTGGTGGCCAGGCTGTTGGTGGCCGGACTGTTGGTGTGGTGGCCCGGGCTGTTGGTGGCCGGGCTGTTGGTGGCCGGGCTGTTGGCGGCCAGGCTGTTGGTGGCCGGGCTGTTGGTGGCAGGCGGGCTGTTGGTGGCCGGGCTGTTGGTGGCCGGGCTGTTGGTGGCCAGGCTGTTGGTGGCCGGGCTGTTGGTGGCCGGGCTGTTGGTGCGGGCTGGCTGTTGTTGCTGTCGGGCTGTTCGTGGTCGGGCTGTTGGTGAAAGTGATGGTCACACTGAGGGTGATTAGGCTGTTGGTGGTCAGGCTGTTGGAGGTCAGGCTAGTGGTGGTGAGGCTGATGGAGGCGAGATTGTTGGAGGCCAGGCCCGGTGGTGGTGAGGCTGATGGAGGCGAGGCTATTGGAGGTCAGGCTGGTGGTGGTGAGGCTGGTGGTGGGTAGACTAGTAGTGGCTCCCGTTGGCTCATCAGATGCCCTTCATAACTGGAAAGAACACTACCATTCTCTGTTCAACCGAAGTTGATACAGATGTCCAGATGACACAGGTACCTCAGCGCCCGGAGCTAGTCCACCTCCACAACCCTCCATCCCATGTCGAGGTAGCCACTGCCACCAAACAGGTGAGAAAAACAAAGCCATGGAACACGATGAAATTCCAGCTGGGTCATATAAAGCAGGAAAATCCCTACTGACCAGCAGCTTCCACTCTAACCTGGAGAAATTTTGGCAATAGTTGGAAGTTCTCCACGAACCCAAAGCTGGCACCATTATCATTATTTATAAATAAAAGGGAAACATATGAAACCGCAGCAGATACAGCTACTGTACATTGTTGACAAGATTCTCGCTCACGTCCCTTAACAGACTTCTCACAGATGCGCAAAATTTCCTTATGAGTCATAATACAGTTGACCGTCTCGCTGCATTCCTGACGTGATCTTTGCTGCCCACCACATACAGGTTATTGTTGTTATAATGTTAATACTGCGCTCCAACAACGAAGGTCTTGAAGCGTGTAACAACGTTAGTAATACGCTAGTCCAACAACATTAAAGAAATATGAGAGATAGAGTTGTCTAATACATACAGGAGAGCAGAGAACAGCTTCGTGACCTGTAAATGGCCATCATTGACCTTTGCTATGGCTTTTAACTCTATCAACTGGGAAATACTTTGAAGTCCCCTCAGTCGCTTTTAATGTCCACTAAAATTCGTCACCATTATGAGTTAACTCCATGATGGCATGAGCAGCAGTGTCCTTCATAGTAGCAGCCATCTAAACGGGAGTAAATCAAGGTTGTGCACTGGCACCAACCCCCTTTTTAACTTCTTGGCTGCCTTTCTTACACCTGTCAGTGCCAATCTAGCTGACGGGGTGAACACGCAACACCAGACGAAGGGATAAAGCTAAAAAAATAAAGAAAAAAGTGCTAAATCGACACCCGCACCCGAGAGACCATCACCTCCAGCTGTGCCGCTTGAAAAGGTAATACAAGAGAACGACTAAATACTGACTGAGGCAGACATACGCTGCCTCCACTCCTCCCGCACTACAGTAGATATCGCCCCCAATTACTGTACAACCTCTGCGGACAACCCTACTGATTCAATATTTGCCTCAACGCACTAGATGTCACATTTCACACGTACAACCTCTCGAGTTATCTTAAGAGCTAACCAACCTTCGAAGATGACATCACTGAAAAATTCCCATAATTTTATCGAAGACGAACGATCGTCTTAGTCGACTTCGAGGATAGAGTTGGTCTGGCTGTTGGTGTTGTCCTAGATCTTGGTGTTGTCTTAGCTCTTGGTGTTGTCCTAGCTCTTGGTGTTGTCCTAGCTCTTGGTGTTGTCCTAGCTCTTGGTGTTATCCTAGCTCTTGGTGTTGTCCTAGCTCTTGGTGTTGTCCTAGCTCTTGGTGTTGTCCTAGCTCTTGGTGTTGTCCTAGCTCTTGGTGTTGTCCTAGCTCTTGGTGTGTTGGTGGTGTTGTCCTAGCTCTTGGTGTGTCCTGCTTCTTGGTGTTGTCTAGCTCTTGGTGTTGTCCCAGTGGTGATGTCCTAGCTCTTGGTGTTGTAGCTCTTGCTCTTGGTGTTGTCCCAGCTCTTGGTGTTGTCCTAGCTCTTGGTGATGCCCTTGGTGTTGTCCTAGCTTGGTGTTGTCCGAGCTCTTGGTGATGTCCTAGCTCTTGGTGTTGTCCTAGCTCTTGGTGTTGTCCCAGCTCTTGGTGTTGTCCTAGCTCTTGGTGTTGTCCCTAGCTCTTGGTGTTATCCTAGCTCTTGGTGATGTCCCAGCTCTTGGTGTTGTCCTAGCTCTTGGTGTTGGCCTAGCTCTGGTGTTGTCCCACCTCTTGGTGTTGTCCTAGCTCTTGGTGTTGTCCTAGCTCTTGGTGTTGTCCTAGCTCTTGGTGTTGTCCTAGCTCTGTGGTGCTGTCCTAGCTCTGGTGTTGTCCTAGCTCTTGGTGTTGTCCTAGCTCTTGGTGTTGTAGCTCTTGGTGTTGTCTAGCTCTTGGTGTTGTCTAGCTCTTGGTGTTGTCCTAGCTCTTGGTGTTGTCCTAGCTCTTGGTGTTGTCCTAGCTCTTGGTGTTGTCCTAGCTCTTGGTGTTGTCCTAGCTCTTGGTGTTGTCCTAGCTCTTGGTGTTGTCCTAGCTCTTGGTGTTGTCCTAGCTCTTGGTGTTGGCCTAGCTCTTGGTGTTGTCCTAGCTCTTGGTGTTGTCCTAGCTCTTGGTGTTGTCCTACCTTGCCATTCATACCATCTTACTGTATGTATTACGGTTCCTCCCATCACCCAAGTCATCCATAGTTCCTCCCATCACGCCAAGTCATCCATAGTTCCTCCCATCACGCCAAGTCATCCATAGTTCCTCCCATCACGCCAAGTCATCCATAGTTCCTCCCATCACGCCAAGTCATCCATAGTCCCATCACGCCAGTCATCCTCTCCCATCACGCCAAGTCATCCATAGTTCCTCCCATCACGCCAAGTCATCCATAGTTCCTCCCATCACGCCAAGTCATACATAGTTCCTCCCATCACCCAAGTCATCCATAGTTCCTCCCATCACGCCAAGTCATCCATAGTTCCTCCCATCACCCAAGTCATCCATAGTTCTTCCCATCACCCAAGTTATCCATAGTTCCTCCCATCACCCAAGTCATCCATAGTTCCTTTGTGTTTGTTATTTCAGCGGTAAGAAAGACAGTACAGGGCATAGTGCTCTCTTTCTCTCTCTCTCTCTCTCTCTCTCTCTCTCTCACAGATTACTGCGCCTTCGGGAGATGGACACGAGTCTGGTCATCAACACAAGAGCTTGAGATTGATACGAGTTTTTGGTGGCTTTGACACCTGCAAGTGACTGACACACACTAGATGGGTTACATGACACCTGCAGGTAACTGACACACATTTCTCCACTTCCAGGTGAATGACACAATCATCTGACAGCTAAGACACCTACATTGACGATGGTTACGACACCTCCACTGTATTGACACAACTATAGAGATTACAATAAAACAGTATCTCCAGGTGGCTGACACAAGCAGGTGAGTCGCCGTTGTGCTGTACCTAAAAAAAAAATTACTAAAAGAATATTGATAATAAAACAGGTTTTGTAACAATAGACAAAGAAAGAGAAAAAAACCTGGTAACTAAGGAACAAAAACACATGGAAGGAAGCAAGTAGTCAGGAGTGTTTTTGTTGTGTTTGTTATCTAGGAATAAACGAATACCCGGGGTGAGTAGATTACAACAATGAGAAGAGGAGTTGTAGTTTGATCTCTGTCATTGAGAGACAATCAGTAAGAACATATGACGAGAAGTTACTATCATCATCATGGTTTCTCCATTATTAAGAGCCAAGGAAGACATGCTAATACTTTTTTAACCCGTTAGTTTTATTGGGGAATCAATACATTTACGTATAAAAAAACTCGATTGGATTAACTAGAACTTTTAACATTTTCAGAGATTAACTTGGGAACTATTGTATATATTTGAAAATTCGATTACGTCACAAAATGTTCAACCCAATGTGTGTTTCTCGCTTGTTTTTATACGTACGTGTGTGTGTGTGTGTGTGTGTGTGTGTGTGTGTGTGTGTGTGTGTGTGTGTGTGTGTGTGTGTGTTTGTTAATGCTTTCGAGTTAGCTCGACTGTATACCGATGCGAACAAGCGCCAGCACCGGAAAGACAGTGCTGCCGCACTAGGCGTACCCCTCCACACGTACCGGACGACCCTGCCGTCATATCGGCCTCTCGAGCCACCTCAGAGCTCACTAACGAAGGTGACGTCACTAATAACTCATATTATTACCTGTATGTCATTGCTAGTTGATCATTATACTCGACTTCGCGTGACAGGAAAGTAGTAGTAGTGTACGTGTTTGTGTGCGTGTTTGTGTGCATGCGTGTGTGCATGGGTGTGTGCATGGGTGTGTGCATGCGTATGTGCATGTGTGTACGTGTGTGCAACTACACGCGTATGTGTGTGTGTGTGTGTGTGTGTGTGTGTATGTGTGTGTGTGTGTGTGTAAACAGGGAGGGTTAGAGGCCACACACACCCACAGTCACAATATAACTGTTGGCAGACTCCCTCGTGCAAGACACTGGTCGCTGGCATTGGTTATTGATATCCTGTCATGATACACAATAACTATATTCTCCTTCAGGCGGCGAGACAAGTTACACTCCGCCTCGGGCTCCCACACGGTGAACACCCTTGAGCCAGCAGCCCTCACTCACCTCAAGGGGGAGCGTGGGGCGCCATTACTCACATACCTTGGCTTATAATCTCGGCTGGAAATCGGAGAAAAAACAATTATATCCAACTCGTTTGATGAGTATCACTGAGTGTTACATGTGGCTCACCACCTCGGCCAGCCGGCACACACGTCCCGCAGGCCATGGACCATAACATTAACACCTATTGCCTCCTTATCTTCACTAAATGAGGCGATAATACACTGCTACAATAACTGAGATCATCTACTTTATCACGTTAATGAATCAAACATTGTCTTTAAGTGACTAGTGTACACTGGAGGCAGGGGCGGGGCGGGTTTTGGGACCTCGGGGCAAGTGGTGGGGCAGGTCTTGGGGCTTTGGGCAAGTGGTGAGGCGGGTCTTGGGGCTTCGGGTCAGCTGATGAGATAAGTGATGGGGTGGGTCTTGGGGCTTCGGGGAAAGTGGTGGAGTGGGTCTTGGGGGCTCGAGGCAAATGCCACGGCAAGCTGCGGGGTAGGTAATGAAGCAGTAGTGAAGCGGATCCTAGGTCTCGGGGCAGATCATGAAACGGTAGTGGGGTGGGTCTTGGTGCCCCGGGGTAAATGGCGTGGCAGCACTGGGGCACGTCTTGGGGCTCAAGGGCAGATGGTGAAACAACGTTCGGGCGTGGCCTGGGCCCCAGGGGCAGGTGTTTGAGGAGAACCAGGGAAGATCTTAGGGAACCGAGGCATAGGGTAATGTAACAATGGGTGGTGCAGTTCTGGGGCAGATGGTGAAGGGCCCAAGGCAGGTGGTGAGGCAGCGGAGGGGCAAGTCCAGAGGCTCCGGGCAGGTGGTACGAATGACGAAGAGAGTTATCAGGCTCCGGGCTCCTAACAAGTGCCACCACCACCACCACTACCCCAGGCCCGAGGAACACAGGTGCTCACTACACCGCCCGCAAGTGTGGACAACAGAGGCGCGACATTATAGTGACCAGCAGGTGTTGGTGTACCATTATAGTGACCAGCAGGTATTGGTGTACAATTATAGTGACCAGCAGGTGTTGGTGTACCATTATAGGGACCAGCAGGTATTGGTGTACCATTATAGTGACCAGCAGGTGTTGGTGTACAATTATAGTGACCAGCAGGTGTTGGTGTACCATTATAGGGACCAGCAGGTATTGGTGTACAA